GAATGAAGAAATTTCAACCTAAGTTAATAACTAATATATAAAATGAATTTTTTAAATCGAATATTATATTTATTATTATTATTCTAAAAACAGGCACCGTCTCTTTCTTTTTAGTATATGCAATATAAGTTTAAATGAGTTAGAAAATATCTATAAATTTTAAAATAAATTAAAAATGGACTAAAATTAATTTCATACTTTTTAAATTTTATGATTTTGTTGTGTTAGTTGTATATTTGTATTCTTATTGTTAGTGACTAGAGGTTGAGGTCCTTCATCTCTAATTCTTTTTTTTTCTTTCTTTCTATGTGTAAATAAATCTCAGCACTTTGTATCTGTAAAAAGTAGAAACAACAGCAAACTAAATAATTCTCTGTATCATGTGAAAATAATATAATACTAAAAATAAAAAATAACACCATTTATAACTCTATACATAGTAAAAATAAAATCAAACATGTTGAAAACACCTAGACTGTTTTTTAATAAATAAATTAGATTAAGATGTTTTAGAAAATGTTTTAGAAAATTTTATAATCTGTGAGTCCTTTGTCATCTTCTGAAAGCAATTATGCAGCAGGATCATACCTTACGTCATGAATTCACCAGTTATACCAATAGCATGTTTTGATAAAAATGCTTTCAAAAATGCGTTTCACGAGAATGGTTAAAATAGCAATAATATAACCAAACGTTGTGCAACACTCCCAAGAAGAAGCAACCTGTCTTTGTCACAGTGGAATTATTGTTGTTATTTTATTTCCCTAACTAACCGAGAAACCAGAATTACTGCCAATGCTGTCGTGTTCTAATCGTTTCTCTAAAAAATCATTAAATAAATATCAATTTTAGAGAGGACAAACGAAGCTGTTCGATTCAATCCATCACTGTTATTTCTAAAAATTTGAAATTTATGGCAGTGGAAATGTGGCAAACCAAGTGGTTCTGTGATTTATGACCACAACAAATGATGTGAGTTTGTGGTTCAGACCAATCAACCCCAGAAATATTCTCTCTCTTCTTTTTATTTTCCACAAACATTTTTATTATTATTACTAGACATACATTCCATGGAAACAGATAAGCATTGATGAGTAACTGTTTGAAGTTGTTGTTCCCAGCATAAATAGCTGAAAATGCAAAACTACACACTCTCTTGAGTTCTGTCCGATTGCATAGCATTGGTTGGTAGTTGTCACAAAAATCTCTTGCCCTTTGGCCATAATCAAAAGCCGAGGCACTGTTCATCAAGCTAATCATCAAGCCAACCTTGCTTGGTTCCACTGCAGAATTTCAGTTATTCTTATCTCCATACATTAGATTGAAGTATTTCTTCTCCTCTCTCTCTACATATATATCTCCACTTTCCACGTTTTTTTGTTTTTTTTATATGTTTTTTTCTATCTTTATGTCTATCCTCTTCTCATACGAGCCTCAAGGTGTCCTATATATAACATACTTCCTCGTGCAGCTTTTGTGTTACTTGAATTTTGGAAACTTGATCTGCTTTTGCTTTGTTATTTCATTATCAGTACCCCTTTGGGTCGTATACTGGTTACCTGAACTGTCTTTTTGCTCATCTTTGAAGAACTATTTTAAAGTTCCCTTTTTTTTTTATACTTCTGTCTTTTCATTCATTTTATAAATCTCTCCATTCTTTCTTCAAAGTAAAATTCTGGGTTTGTTTTTTTGTTTTCAATTGGGGACACAGAAATTAAAGAACTGATTGGGATTTCCATTTTGTGTTGCTGGGTCTCTTAGATTTGAAGCTTTTTGGTTGGTGGATCCCAAATTCATGAATGCCCCCTTTTCTTCGACCAATAAGTTTTGTTGCTGAACAAATTAGCCCTGTCTGGCTAAGGTTTTTGAGTCTGTAGTGCTAGATAATTGATCTTTGTGTATTATTTTAACTTAAGGATCTTCAGTTTTCCCTTTTTATCATTGGTGGCTTTCTCACAAATCTAGTCTCCGAAGTTAGTGATTTCAAAGAGGTGCGCTGTGTTAACTTTCCTGTTTGTTTCATATTCAAGTTCAATTCTGGTTGTGGGTTTATCTTTTACTGGAAGACAAACTTTGAGGTTATTTCTCATCCCAACTATTGTTCTCTCTGCAACTTAAATCCAGCATCAATGGGTTTTAAATTTCTCGAAGATCTCTCCAGTTTACTTCATTACTAGAGAAAAGTGGGATCTCTGGGGTTACCTCATGTATGATTGATTTTTCCTGTTAGAACAGGGACCTTTAATCTTTAATGTGTGTGTTGAACATGAATTGAGAACTATTTCCTAGTTTTCATCTTCGACATTGAAACTATTGCTTTGTCTGTAAGATTTGATTTTTATGCGCTGTCATTTTACATTTACTCTTTACACTGTTAATCAATCAAAACCCCATCATAGTCTATAATTGGATTGATTCCAATGTAAATAGTCTTTCACAATGTACACACTATTTACTGTTGATTTAATCCATAAAAAAATGCAGCATTTCATAAACAATAAGATTTGGATGAAGATTCTTTTGGATAAAATATTGTTATAGGAACTAAATTCTGATATGCATTTCAGGTAGATTCCTCGTAGGTGCTCTCAAGTTCATTTGAAAAGAATGAGTCAGCCTAAGATCAAGCGCAGAGTTGGTAAATACGAGGTGGGGAGGACAATTGGTGAAGGTACATTTGCAAAGGTGAAATTTGCAAGGAACTCTGAGACAGGAGAACCTGTGGCTCTTAAAATTCTTGACAAGGAGAAGGTGCTCAAGCACAAGATGGCTGAGCAGGTTGAATACCTGAGGAACTTAACTTCGGATCTTACTCTGTCCTTAATCTTATTACTTCATTTAATTAGGAAACAAACAGTTTAATGACATAATGCTTCCTCTCATTTTCCAAAACCTTTCAAAATGTTGAGAAAGTGTAGTTTTCTGTGAACTATTTTTAGGTGGCAGGTTACAGAATTCAGATGTTTCTTATCATAGTACTGTTATTTACATCGGGTAGATGCTTTATAGATTCTGACAAAATTAAATCAAGTTTCTTAGATGTTTTTGATGTATTCTTTCAGATCAGGAGAGAGGTGGCTACAATGAAATTAATCAAGCATCCAAATGTTGTTCGATTGTATGAGGTCTCTCTTTCTCTCTCTGTGGACCACACATGCTATGATTTGCCATTCTCTTTTTTAAATAAATTTTTTCTTTATTTTATTCTTGCCTGAAGTTTCTGTTTTTAGAAGCAGCGTGTGGTAGTGGTTGAGTATAGAACGTTCTTGTTTGTTTCACTAAGAATTCTGCCTGCTGCCTACCATTCCAGAAATTCTTTATAAAGTATCCCGGTGAATAGTTAAAGTCATTGGATGTTTTGAAAGATTGTTTTTTTTTTTTAAAAAAAAACTTTGTTCATCTAATTCTGCTATGTTTGGATAAAGAGAAAAGAAAATACAGATAACATTCTTTTATGTAGTTGAAGGGAAAGTGCAAAGTAATAGTAGAAAAAGTTTACTTCTAGAAATAAAATTCAAACCTTTTACTTTTATCTCTTCTCCAATTCAAATTTTGAACTTTTATCTTCACTCTCATTTTCTTCCCACCCAGCCAAACGTAGGAAAAGTTCTAAATATGTTGAATGCTTGAATCTTCATTATGAAAAGAACTTTCCAATCTTCTGTTGCCGCTGGGTTTGATATATTCTTCTATCATGAATTGCCCATATGAAAAATTTTCTTACATGTGCAAAAGAAAAAAGTTGNTACCTGCAAAGGCACTCCGACGCTCAAGTCAAGATAGGGATGTCTGATTAATCTTCAGAATAAGAATCTATCAATTTCTCTTAGGGGAAAAACGTACCTTTTTTCTCCTGTGCTTTGTATATTTAAAACAGTAAAATAAACCGTTTACCTGAAAGTTCGGTCCGTTACCGAAGTTGACTGCTTGGGAGTTGTAACTGTTAGATCGTGTTTCATACTGGGTTAGTTATTCCCGTGATTTGTGGTATCTGACTAACATTCAAAATTATCTGTTAGCATATGCTAAACCGCTTTGTCGTCGTTCAAGCGCTGTGTGTCGAGACATCGCTGGCTGTCGAGCACCAGGTGATCGACATGGTCTATTACCAGGTGCCCGACATCAGTATGCCAATGTCATTGATTGTCGATCACCAGGTGCTCGACATCAACCTGTAAGTGCTCGACATCAACATACGAACGACATTGACTGTCGACTACCAGGTGTTCGACATCAACCTGTAAACACTTATGATGTTAAAGGTCGACTGCTGGTGAACTCGGGTATCCTATGGTACACTATGTAAAATAATTTCACATCATTGTATGGTTTTAGATTATCATGTATGAAAAAATTATGACATGGTGAATTGAAAAGTTGTTTACATGCCCATAACGAATTTTTTCACATGATTTATTTTTTGTTTAAGAAATGATCTAAGTGAAAGTAAGTTCACAAAAAATAGTATAAATCGTTATCCTGATATTTGTTTTGACTGTAAAGATATTTTTAGTTTACAAAACTAATATTAATTTTATATCATGCATGGATTATATTTTTTTAAATTAGAATATTGTAGACATTTTATATCCGTTACCTTGAATATTTTATATCAGTCGTATAAATTTCATTACATGAAAAATAACAAAAAAGATATATAAAAATGAATGAAGAAATTTCAACCTAAGTTAATAACTAATATATAAAATGAATTTTTTAAATCGAATATTATATTTATTATTATTATTCTAAAAACAGGCACCGTCTCTTTCTTTTTAGTATATGCAATATAAGTTTAAATGAGTTAGAAAATATCTATAAATTTTAAAATAAATTAAAAATGGACTAAAATTAATTTCATACTTTTTAAATTTTATGATTTTGTTGTGTTAGTTGTATATTTGTATTCTTATTGTTAGTGACTAGAGGTTGAGGTCCTTCATCTCTAATGCTTTTTTTTTCTTTCTTTCTATGTGTAAATAAATCTCAGCACTTTGTATCTGTAAAAAGTAGAAACAACAGCAAACTAAATAATTCTCTGTATCATGTGAAAATAATATAATACTAAAAATAAAAAATAACACCATTTATAACTCTATACATAGTAAAAATAAAATCAAACATGTTGAAAACACCTAGACTGTTTTTTAATAAATAAATTAGATTAAGATGTTTTAGAAAATGTTTTAGAAAATTTTATAATCTGTGAGTCCTTTGTCATCTTCTGAAAGCAATTATGCAGCAGGATCATACCTTACGTCATCAATTCACCAGTTATACCAATAGCATGTTTTGATAAAAATGCTTTCAAAAATGCGTTTCACGAGAATGGTTAAAATAGCAATAATATAACCAAACGTTGTGCAACACTCCCAAGAAGAAGCAACCTGTCTTTGTCACAGTGGAATTATTGTTGTTATTTTATTTCCCTAACTAACCGAGAAACCAGAATTACTGCCAATGCTGTCGTGTTCTAATCGTTTCTCTAAAAAATCATTAAATAAATATCAATTTTAGAGAGGACAAACGAAGCTGTTCGATTCAATCCATCACTGTTATTTCTAAAAATTTGAAATTTATGGCAGTGGAAATGTGGCAAACCAAGTGGTTCTGTGATTTATGACCACAACAAATGATGTGAGTTTGTGGTTCAGACCAATCAACCCCAGAAATATTCTCTCTCTTCTTTTTATTTTCCACAAACATTTTTATTATTATTACTAGACATACATTCCATGGAAACAGATAAGCATTGATGAGTAACTGTTTGAAGTTGTTGTTCCCAGCATAAATAGCAGAAAATGCAAAACTACACACTCTCTTGAGTTCTGTCCGATTGCATAGCATTGGTTGGTAGTTGTCACAAAAATCTCTTGCCCTTTGGCCATAATCAAAAGCCGAGGCACTGTTCATCAAGCTAATCATCAAGCCAACCTTGCTTGGTTCCACTGCAGAATTTCAGTTATTCTTATCTCCATACATTAGATTGAAGTATTTCTTCTCCTCTCTCTCTACATATATATCTCCACTTTCCACGTTTTTTTGTTTTTTTTATATGTTTTTTTCTATCTTTATGTCTATCCTCTTCTCATACGAGCCTCAAGGTGTCCTATATATAACATACTTCCTCGTGCAGCTTTTGTGTTACTTGAATTTTGGAAACTTGATCTGCTTTTGCTTTGTTATTTCATTATCAGTACCCCTTTGGGTCGTATACTGGTTACCTGAACTGTCTTTTTGCTCATCTTTGAAGAACTATTTTAAAGTTCCCTTTTTTTTTTATACTTCTGTCTTTTCATTCATTTTATAAATCTCTCCATTCTTTCTTCAAAGTAAAATTCTGGGTTTGTTTTTTTTGTTTTCAATTGGGGACACAGAAATTAAAGAACTGATTGGGATTTCCATTTGTGTTGCTGGGTCTCTTAGATTTGAAGCTTTTTGGTTGGTGGATCCCAAATTCATGAATGCCCCCTTTTCTTCGACCAATAAGTTTTGTTGCTGAACAAATTAGCCCTGTCTGGCTAAGGTTTTTGAGTCTGTAGTGCTAGATAATTGATCTTTGTGTATTATTTTAACTTAAGGATCTTCAGTTTTCCCTTTTTATCATTGGTGGCTTTCTCACAAATCTAGTCTCCGAAGTTAGTGATTTCAAAGAGGTGCGCTGTGTTAACTTTCCTGTTTGTTTCATATTCAAGTTCAATTCTGGTTGTGGGTTTATCTTTTACTGGAAGACAAACTTTGAGGTTATTTCTCATCCCAACTATTGTTCTCTCTGCAACTTAAATCCAGCATCAATGGGTTTTAAATTTCTCGAAGATCTCTCCAGTTTACTTCATTACTAGAGAAAAGTGGGATCTCTGGGGTTACCTCATGTATGATTGATTTTTCCTGTTAGAACAGGGACCTTTAATCTTTAATGTGTGTGTTGAACATGAATTGAGAACTATTTCCTAGTTTTCATCTTCGACATTGAAACTATTGCTTTGTCTGTAAGATTTGATTTTTATGCGCTGTCATTTTACATTTACTCTTTACACTGTTAATCAATCAAAACCCCATCATAGTCTATAATTGGATTGATTCCAATGTAAATAGTCTTTCACAATGTACACACTATTTACTGTTGATTTAATCCATAAAAAAATGCAGCATTTCATAAACAATAAGATTTGGATGAAGATTCTTTTGGATAAAATATTGTTATAGGAACTAAATTCTGATATGCATTTCAGGTAGATTCCTCGTAGGTGCTCTCAAGTTCATTTGAAAAGAATGAGTCAGCCTAAGATCAAGCGCAGAGTTGGTAAATACGAGGTGGGGAGGACAATTGGTGAAGGTACATTTGCAAAGGTGAAATTTGCAAGGAACTCTGAGACAGGAGAACCTGTGGCTCTTAAAATTCTTGACAAGGAGAAGGTGCTCAAGCACAAGATGGCTGAGCAGGTTGAATACCTGAGGAACTTAACTTCGGATCTTACTCTGTCCTTAATCTTATTACTTCATTTAATTAGGAAACAAACAGTTTAATGACATAATGCTTCCTCTCATTTTCCAAAACCTTTCAAAATGTTGAGAAAGTGTAGTTTTCTGTGAACTATTTTTAGGTGGCAGGTTACAGAATTCAGATGTTTCTTATCATAGTACTGTTATTTACATCGGGTAGATGCTTTATAGATTCTGACAAAATTAAATCAAGTTTCTTAGATGTTTTTGATGTATTCTTTCAGATCAGGAGAGAGGTGGCTACAATGAAATTAATCAAGCATCCAAATGTTGTTCGATTGTATGAGGTCTCTCTTTCTCTCTCTGTGGACCACACATGCTATGATTTGCCATTCTCTTTTTTAAATAAATTTTTTCTTTATTTTATTCTTGCCTGAAGTTTCTGTTTTTAGAAGCAGCGTGTGGTAGTGGTTGAGTATAGAACGTTCTTGTTTGTTTCACTAAGAATTCTGCCTGCTGCCTACCATTCCAGAAATTCTTTATAAAGTATCCCGGTGAATAGTTAAAGTCATTGGATGTTTTGAAAGATTGTTTTTTTTTTTTAAAAAAAAACTTTGTTCATCTAATTCTGCTATGTTTGGATAAAGAGAAAAGAAAATACAGATAACATTCTTTTATGTAGTTGAAGGGAAAGTGCAAAGTAATAGTAGAAAAAGTTTACTTCTAGAAATAAAATTCAAACCTTTTACTTTTATCTCTTCTCCAATTCAAATTTTGAACTTTTATCTTCACTCTCATTTTCTTCCCACCCAGCCAAACGTAGGAAAAGTTCTAAATATGTTGAATGCTTGAATCTTCATTATGAAAAGAACTTTCCAATCTTCTGTTGCCGCTGGGTTTGATATATTCTTCTATCATGAATTGCCCATATGAAAAATTTTCTTACATGTGCAAAAGAAAAAAGTTGAGTTAGAATAAGTACGTGTAAAATACATTTCTCTTTCAATGTTATTTCATCTCTTTAACTCACCATTCTCAGTCTGTGATAATTAATTTACCGATGGTGTTGTTTTTGGTGTTTATCATCAAACATTCGTACCTACACAGAAATGATTTTCTTGGGAAGTATACATGCAATTAGAAATCAAAATAATTCTCATTTGTTGCGTGACTCTGTTTCTAATTTAACATTTTTGTTGACAGGTGATGGGAAGCAAGACAAAAATATATATTGTTTTGGAGTTTGTGACTGGCGGGGAGCTCTTTGACAAAATTGTGAGTATATAATCTTGTTGGTTTCCTTTCATTTTCATTTTATTCTACAATTTTGGAGAAAAAAGGATCAAAATGGTGACTCTTTAACATATATTTTCAGTCCACCAATCCTATTTAGCTTATGATACTAGATTAGTGTTGGATCACGAGAACATGATTCTTGTTCATTCATTCAACACATTATCATCATTCATTGGTTGTTGTGTATTGTATTGTCTTAGAATTAGATCATAGTACATTACATGGAAAAGTTGTTGTGTATGTTCCAATGGACATTTTGTTGTGAAGGTAAACCATGGACGGATGAGTGAAAATGAAGCTCGTAGATATTTCCAACAGCTTATAAATGCTGTTGATTATTGCCACAGCAGGGGTGTCTACCACAGAGACCTGAAGGTAAGGCTCCTTCACCTCACACATGCACACGTGCAAGTGTCACAAAATTATTTTGACATTAATATAATAAGAAATAACCTCTTACAATTAATGACTATCCACGTGCTTTCTGCAGCCAGAAAATTTGCTCTTAGATACTTATGGGAACCTTAAAGTTTCCGACTTTGGATTGAGTGTCCTCTCCCAGCAAGTTAGGGTAATCATGAATTTCATTGCCTTTTACCTTTAACTCTTTTTTTGTGTTTATCTTTGTTCTGTAAATTGATCTTGCTTTTTGAAGTAAAAGTATGACCCAATTTATTGATGTCATAGAAGAACATATAATGAAACAATTAGAAAGTATGAACATGTGTGTGAGAAATGGTGATAGTGAACTATATGTTCAGCAATTGCTGAAAGGAGATCTATGAAACATAGAAAGATACAACTTCCAACTACCTTTTAGCCTTTTTATCAGTGATAGGTTATTTATTTTGACCAGAGACATGATTTGATTTTTCTTGAATCAGGAGATTGTGCAAGTAACTAGTTATGATCTAGGAAGAGAAAGCATAATAGCATTAAAGAATGTGACATTATTGAAGTTGGAACAAACAATAGTCAACAGCATCGAAAAATTATATTCAATCATTCACTAATCACTCATAAATATTTAAACCCTTTTACTCACATTCATAACAGAAAAGGACACAGTTTTATACATTTTATAGTCGGATCCTGTCTAAGACACTGCTCTCTCTTTCCAGCTTGTCAATTGTTATAAATTTGAAGTTATTCTAAAATTGACAAAATTTTCTTGCATTTGAAGAGATTTTATTTATTTGTTCTTTATAGGATGATGGGCTTCTCCATACTACATGTGGGACACCAAACTATGTTGCTCCAGAGGTACAGACAAATGTCATGCTACTTAATTCTGAGCTGTGTACCAAAATTCATACATTTTTTTAGTCACTCTTCTAACTCTATACCCTTGTTGTATATAGGTCCTTAATGATAGAGGCTATGATGGTGCAACTGCAGACTTGTGGTCATGTGGGGTGATTCTCTTTGTATTGGTTGCAGGTTACCTACCTTTTGATGACCCTAATCTTATGAACCTGTATAAGAAAGTGAGCAACATTCAAACTTTACTGTACAATTTTAGTCTTCCCTTTGTTTACTCTCTGTTACATTTTATTTCTTGATCCACAGATCTCAGCTGCTGAATTTACTTGCCCCCCGTGGCTTTCTTTCAGTGCCAGGAAATTGATTACACGAATCTTGGATCCCGATCCCACAACTGTAAGGAGAAACATGTGATCATGTGCTTAATTATTGCCATGTAAAATTGCATGTTTGTTCTGAAAATAAAAGGACAGTTTTACACATAACCAACTTGTAACTTTGTACGCATCCTTGGTAGCTTCCAATGACCTGGTATCATCTACATCAGTTTGATTTCATAATTAACAAATGAGGATAATGGTTCTTCTAGAATAGCATTTAGCTAGTGCCCTGCACCACAATAAAATTGATATACAAAAGATAACTGGTCTTTAATATACAGTATTGTGGTTATTTTTTCTGTAACAGTTACATTTTGCTCTTGATTTCTGATTTACCCTGACTGTATGGCAGCGTATCACTATACCTGAGATTTTGGATGATGAATGGTTTAAGAAAGATTATAAGCCTCCTGTTTTTGAGGAGAATGGGGAAATCAACCTTGATGACGTTGAAGCTGTCTTTAAAGATTCTGAAGTAAGTTGAAGATTACTAGATGTCATTTTTGTATTCATTTTCTGAGTTCTGGAATCTTTCCTCAAAGAATTTTGCCTGCATATTCAGGAGCACCATGTGACAGAGAAGAAAGAAGAGCAGCCAACATCCATGAATGCGTTTGAGTTAATTTCCATGTCCAAAGGGCTGAACCTTGAAAACTTGTTTGATACAGAGCAGGTACACATCTTCACATGATCAGATGCTTTTTAAATCATTTCATTATTGTGATGAACATGTAGAATTCAAATACAGAGAAAACATGCAAGTCACTACAATTTTGGCTTAAACTAATTTATTTATCTTATACAACCAAGTTTTTTATGTTGAAAGTTTAACTTAATTTGGGTGAGAGCTTTCTTTTTCAAGTCAAATTTGTGCATATTATGAGATACCTTGCTAAATTTACCATGTTTTCTTTATTCTTATGTTATTGACATCAGGGGTTCAAAAGGGAAACAAGATTCACGTCAAAGTCACCTGCAGATGAGATAATCAACAAGATTGAGGAGGCTGCAAAACCTCTTGGCTTTGATGTGCAGAAGAAAAATTACAAGGCAAGCCCTTCTTGTCCAACTTATAATGAGCTTCTCTGCTACTCAGATAGCTTTATATGAAATGGTAGTTTTTGAAATTAATAAACCATCACCTGCAGATGAGGCTTGCAAATGTAAAAGCTGGAAGAAAGGGAAACCTTAATGTTGCCACTGAGGTATATGATTGTTATTTGGTGCTGTTGAACACTATTTGTCACATTATTGTACAGAAACTTAAAAGTGCTCATCATAAACAGATATTTCAAGTGGCACCTTCTCTTCACATGGTTGAGGTACGGAAGGCAAAAGGAGACACATTGGAGTTCCATAAGGTGTTCTTCTGTTCCCTTCTTTGCTTAATTGCTTTACATAGTCTCTGCTTGCCACTTCATAAATAACTGTTCTTGGATCAATTTTAATGATAATTTAAAAGGATTACTGTATAATTTTAAAGTTCTCTCTACAAAGGAATAATTTTCCCTGGAAGAATACATCATTAGTTAGATGGGAAAGGAGAATCAGAATTATTCATTTGTCAATATCAGATCTTTATTTTTCATATATATTTGTTCCAATAAGAATATGTTTCTGCTTAGCTTATAATTACATATTTATAAAAGAAAAGAACAACTTGAAATCAAGTTTCTTATATCCTCATCATGAAGTTGTTGTTGAATTAAGAAAAGGATGTAGATCTTCTCTTGTTCTTGAATGACAAGGTAAGGCCCTACTGAAAAGAATCTGACTGAAATTGTTTGGTTGATCTTCTGCAGTTCTACAAGAAGCTTTCAACAAGCCTGGATGATGTTGTTTGGAAAACAGAAGATGATATGCAAATGAGAGAAAAAAATTGATATATTGATATTATTATTATCAAGTGTAATTTTCTTCATTTCTGAAGTTCTACTATTTTCCAATTTCTTCATTCTTATTTCCTCTAAGGTTCCTTCCTGTAGGTTTGTTTGGACATTCCATAGTACTCATAATGTATTTTGTACCATGCTATTATTTTTGAAAGCATGCAATGTAAGAATTTTACTCATCAACACTTTCAGCTATGTTCATGAAACAAAAATTGTAAGAAAATTTGAATATTGTATATAGCTATATATTTATCTTTTTATCTTGCGTTTGCTGTTACTTTCCTTCTCTCATCTTTGTCTGTCCAGCAACATGGTAAGCTCATTGCAGCAACTGGAAACTCAAAACAGAAGATTAAGAGAGAAAGAAGGTAAAAGAATATATATATATTATTTTGACGGAAAAAATCAACCTGTGTTTGGAATATAATAGAGTAGTTTGGATTGAAATCGTGATTTTTTTGTTGATTTGTTGTATTCATGTTTGTTTTAGAGCAAAACAGATGAAATTGTAGAAAAGAAAAAACCCATTAGGATTCTCGTTGAAGAATTACACTCTGTTAAGAAAACTATAAATAAAATTTGAAAAATAAAGATGATGAAATTCACTAAAAACAGAAGACATAAATAACTTAAGAAGAGAGATGACTAATATATTTTACTACAACATATGTATATTTTTTATGCACCGTTTGATCTTTCTTTTTAACTCAGTAATATTTCACTATTTATTTAGCCAGTACTTATTCAGTAATAATAATTTCAAGCAAGTTATAATGCACAAATTACTTCCAAACTAAAATTAAACTTAATGATTAAAATCTCAAAGTTTATAATATCTAACAACTTAATGTAGCAATTAAAATTTGAAGATTAAAATCTCACACATCTATATCAAGAATAAAAGTATAATTGAAATATTCTTTAAGTGCAATAAAATGTCAAATGAAAAAGAAACAAGTCAAAATCATTTTTTAGTTGTCTGGTTCAGTGGGCATCATCATCATGAAGCACTCACATAGTCATGAAAAGAACAAGAAGAACGTGATGAATATTAATGGTGGCAAAACGTTAGATAAATTATTGCTGATAAAGTAGTTATAAACTATTATTATTTTAAGCAAATTAAGTATAGTAATCATAATTAATTACCCAATTAATTTTTTATAAAATAAGTGTAATTTCTATATTGTCAAACCAATAACAAATTATCATTGATACGATTAATTAATACAAAATTAACTATATAACATATTAAACAATTATTTGGCAAAATAAACTAATACAATATTTATAAAAATTTATTGAAGTGAAAATTGAGATGGCTCACTCTTCGATGTGTCCATGATTCTTGATGCTGCATAGGTTTTTGTCTCTTCCATTCCCAGACTATGATTTTATGTCGTTCTCTCTGCAATTGTTTTTCGATGACGTCAGCAGTGTCACTGTTCTCTAAACTAAAACTGGTATTTTGCATTCCTAACATTGCTCACATTTTTCAATTTTCACCAATGAGGATTTTTACTGGGTATTTAATTCACCTGAAAATTTTTCTTCCTTTAACCTATTTAACTTGCTTGTTCGGTGCAAAATGGTATCTTTTGGTGCTGAATATAATTGAAAGCATTTTTCTGTGTTCCCCGGGATTTCATTTTGTTTGGGATTATGGTATAACCGAGAAAAACCCAATATTATGCTACCCTCGAATGACTAACTTTCCATTTCTGCAATAATATTTCACATTATGGAATGGTAAAGTCTAAAGTTTTTGTGTTTCTTTTCTATCCTACGTTTGGAATAATACAACTCTTTCTTGAGACTTTGATCTGTTGGATTCTGTTCTGTGTACCTCACTCTAATGGGTTTCTATTTTTGTTTTTCTTGTTATTTTGCCACTTAATTTTTGTATTGATTGTTGATTAGATTCATAGGATTTTGATTCTAGTTCAATGAGATTGTTGTAGGTGAAAACTTGTAGCTTAGTGTGTGTGAATGATAGAACTTCAGGGCTAAGAGGTTGTTAAGAAGATGGTTGGAAACATTGCAATCATTGTTTCATCATTGCCAACTTCTTTTTCTTCATGTCTGATTAACCTTCCAAGAGATTCTCCAAGCCTCAAGCTTCTTCCAATCAGACACCAAATACAAATCAACAGAACCAGAGCTACATCTTCTGATGCAGGTCATGGTACTGCGGAAGCAAAAGATCCTGCTGCAGCTTCTTTGAAGATTCCACACACTGTTTGGAGGAAAACATTGAAGCCATTAAGTGATTTTGGTTTCAGCGATAGGAGCATCTGGGAAGGTGGGGTTGGACTGTTTTTAGTGTCTGGTACTGTCCTATTTGTTCTTAGTTTGGCCTGGTTAAGGGCCTTCCAAATAAGATCCAAATTCAGGAAGTACACAGTTGCGGTTCTGTTTGCTCAAGCTTGTGGCATAAGCAAAGGAACACCTGTGAGAATCAGAGGAGCCACTGTTGGTAATGTCATTGGTGTCAATCCTTCTTTGAAGTGTATTGAAGCGGTTGTTGAGGTCTCTTTCAATACTCTAGTATCCCTGCATTAAAATTTGACAATCTTTGATTAAGAGAAGCTTAATTGTTGAATTAGATTAAACCAGGAGTTTGGATTTGCAGGTTGGTGATGTCAAAACCATCATACCACGGAATTCACTGATTGAGGTAAACCAGTCAGGTCTTTTGATGGAAACAAAAATTGACATCACTCCTCGTGATCCAATTCCAACACCTTCTGTTGGTCCTCTTGATGAAGATTGTACTAAGGAGGGTCTTATTGTGTGTGATCGTGAAAAGATCAATGGCCAGCAAGGAACAAGTTTGGATACATTGGTTCGGATATGCACCCGCCTTGGGCGTGCATTAGAGGAAATCGGTATCAGCAATAGCTATTCATTGGCAGAACGAGTACTTTCCATCATTGAAGAAGCAAAACCTCTTCTCAGACAGGTGTGGTGCTCTTGAATGGACTATTGGATCAAGCAATTTTCAATTTTCTTGCCTACAGAAAAATTGATTAGTGTTTGATGATGGTAAATGAAATTTCAGTTTGTTCCATCACCAAAACATAGAATAATGTGGTGAATAAGCATTTGTTGTACCTTTATGAATTCATTTATCAGATGCAGTAGGTGTTTCTTTCTTTCTTTTTGTTGTTCAGTTATTCTGTCATGCATTCTCATGCACATATTTTCACTTCGATGTAGTAATGCCTCAGATCAAAGCCATGGCTGAAGATGTTCATCCTTTGTTGGCTGAGGTCCGAGACAGTGGCCTGTTGAAGGAACTTGAGAATTTAACCCAAAACCTTACCCAAGCTTCTGAGGATTTGAGGTTAATTCCCTAAACTTCTATGGCTCTAGTTGATCACCAATTTGTAATACATTAATGGGGTTGTATGCATCATTATATTAATAACTGGACAAAATTGGACTGATTCAAAAATTCTTTGTATTCTTAATCTTACACTCCAAACATTATCATTATTATGACTAACAGAAATCATGCTTTGTGTACGCAGAAGGGTACATTCATCGATTATGACCCCTGAGAACACTACACTCGTTCACAAGTCCATAAACACACTTAGTTTTACCTTGAAGAACATTGAGGTAAGACACTAATGTGCAAAATCTAATTATTATGAATAGTACTTGCCTGTATAATTTTTTGATTTTTTATCGTATCACTACAGTATATTAGCAAGGATATTGTGGATTTTACTGGGGACGAGACTACTAAAAAGAATTTGAAATTGCTTATCAACAACCTCAGCAGGCTATTATGAAGTCAAAAAATGAAGATAGGAAGCACAAAATCATAGGTAATAATAGTATTGTGAACATGGTCTACATCAACTGCAGCATTGAAGGAGAAAAATACACTTTTATTTATTTTAGCTGTTTCTTATGTTCTTATTTTTGTTGCATTCTGGTGCGATAAAAGTTGTCTTTCCTTGTCATAATGAATGCAGGTGTTACCGACCAGTTTAGAACTGATTTCCACGTGAATGGTCTTGTTTCTTATGCAATAATTATCCACTCGTCTGTGATGCAAGGACGGATTTTAATAATGGTTGAAGCTCTAGGCTTTTAGAAAGAATGAAGTTACTAATTAAAGGGTCATCATGGCACATTCAAAGTGGTTCTAGTTGATGAAGATTTGATTTGGACGCAATTATCCAAATATCTTCTGTTTCTAAAACCACTGTGATTTTCGATATTATAATTTGTCTCTTCCTAGTTATCTTGAACTTCATATAAACGTGCAGTTTGTTACCTTTGAACTCAATGTTCATGATTATTCAATCAGTAAAATATTAATTTTTATTGACTTTTTTTACTACAGATAAAAATAATATATCACTAAAAGAATATGGTTATTTTATCAAATTATTTTAATATATGATCTATTTATTGGCATTTTTAATCCGTGAATAAACGTAAAACTTATCTTACATTTCTTTGGACATGGTAATAGGCAATCACAGTTCCATTTTGAAAGAGTTGTTGAAACATCAGGGTTTCCGATGAAGATTTAAATGTGATTTTGCAATACAATCTATCGAAAATCACGAGCCATTTACACTTGAACTGGAAACTAGCCCATAACCATTCACACGGTGGTTCTCTGCAACTCGATCACTTTCTGGACTTAGGCTTAAAAATATTTGCCTTGTAGTATCTAAGTTCCTCAATGCTTTCTCTAATGTCATCCATGGCTCTGTGTCTGTTTTCTTTTGAAGGTGCTCTCTTCTGATCTGCACAAATAACAAACCTTTTTATAGTTTGAGTTCAAGATTCTTTCTCAGCTCTCATTGATTAATAATAATTACTCCACGACTCCGCTTAGGAAACAGGAAATGGCATTATTAGTATGATAAAAAAATCACGAATAGTAACAAAAATCCCAGAAGGTAGGTATTCCATTGTTCCCCATCTATCGAATTTGTAAAACCGAGAAACATGCAAACCATTTAAGATCACAACTGGAGGCAAAGAATAGTCATAACTATAACAAAGTAACTAGCTACGACCAAATCAAACCCAAAAGCAAAAGGGATGGTTGGTGAGATTCCAAACTTCAAAGTTAAAGCAACAAAAAAATATCTACAAGCACCTTGCCAAGTTTCTAAGCACCTTTACGCTATTACATAATAATATCTCTAAATTCAAGGATTTTCCCTCAGCATGGAATCTATATTTGTTCATTAGTTGAATTTTTCTGGGGAGAGTAGTAGCAGGTTTTAAAGTATCCCTTCGGTTGGTGGCTTTCCGGATTTCCACATTTTCAACTTTTTTATACCCGCAGGGTGTTGAGGGGAAGGTCACAATAGATACACAGAATGGTAATAATGTGAAAATCTCTTATTCATCTGCAATTAAAAATTGCCCATAAAAATATTCCTTGCATAAAATGTAGAGAAAACAATACAAATTGGAATGTTGACACAAAGGGACAAGAGACAAGGAATTCTTCATATTTTAGTTTGAAAAGGGTAATATTTAATTCATAATCTTTTTTATGGAAATGGGACGTTTTATCATATTACTTACCAGTTCAAACAAACGGAACAAACGTTACATGTATAGCATCCAAAAAAAAAATAGAAGAATAATGTTCGCGGAACAGATCCAGTAATGCAGTGATATGCACTGAAAATGGCCAACAATGCCTTATTTTGACGGGGGTCAAGAAAAAACAAATACAAAAAAAACTTCAGGATGATTTATAATGCACTAATACCAAATACAATTTCATTATATACTGATTGTATCATTTCTCACCTTTGGGATACCAGCGAATGCAGAGAGCTTTAACACTACTAACATCAACAAGTACATGAGAGAATAGACTCGCCAATTTTGGCATGTATTTCTGCAAAAGTTGATCCAGTTTAACGGAATATTTCAAAGAGGAAAAATAGGACATATAGACATACCAAATAAAAACAGCACTATATGCTTTCAATAATATATTCAGATGACAAATTTCAGGTGACATCTAAAATCGATCTTTACTAGATGTGCAAGCTTCAGAAGTGCTTGATGATTTTGATCAACATAATTATTAACCATGACTTGGCAAGCATGATATATAAACAATACCCAATATACCTCGGCATTGTAATATTTTGTTATTTAAAAAAATTAAATTTGACAGTGTGATAGGACTAACAATTTACACCAGAAATTTACAAAAAAAAAAATAAAAATCCAATGCATACGGAATACATCATAATCTTTTAAACAAAAACATGACAATTAGAATTAAGAAATTAATGATACTTCAGCTTCTATGATGGCAGAACCAATACCTTCAGAAATTGAAAATCAACATATATTGAATTTCCTGCCAAGAGAGGTGTGTACGAATCAACTTTAATATATCTCCTTACAAATTCAATAACCTGCAGTTTTGCAAGATATTACAATCTGTCATAATAGCGTAAAAAAATGAATAAAACAAAGAAAGAAAAAGAGATTCAGTCATTGCACTCCAGTAAAAACTAAAGACAGATAAAGTGGCAATACACAAAAAAAGATACGATTTTACAGACACTTCCAACACAACAAGCAAATATCACATGTGGGGAGCCATGAATACTCCCATATAACTGGAACTGATATCATTGCCTTGATGCAGGAGTAGGATGCCAAATACCTACTGGTTTTGTCTCTAGTATACTTAGTGGCATTTGGTTTGCTAGGACCCAATCGCAAGGTATGGAATTTGAATCCCACAATGTAATTATCGGATTTGTAGGGCATTGGGTTTTTCAACTACTATAGCCAGATTTTGTGGTGTGGTTCTCCCAAGGCTCTTAAAAGGGTAACTACAGGATAGGCCATTCTGTAGAGGAAAGTATTATTATCTCTTAATAACTCTAACCTAAATTTGTCCTATAATATTTAAATACATCACTGCATGGATAACACAACAGAAGAAACCATTTTGTGCAATATTTATCATCAACCTAGAAGAATGGCAACAGCGCCACTCTGCTGATTACTGTATAGCCTTAGAACTACTTGAATAAATCATAAATTACTCATCGACCAGATCATAGACCGCTTAAAGTAAAATTAGAATGCATATATTCAACTATTCATGCCAATATCAAGAATTATCAGAGAATAGATAATAGGTTTCCTGGTAGGGAAAAAAAATTACAGCTGCCAAAAAATTTCCCCGTATGGACTGCCTATATTTTTAATGAAATTTGGGAAGGATAATAAGAAATTTAATTTCCTTTAGCACATTAAGACTGATAGAACTGGGATTGGATTTGGATCCAGAAACAATGTTTAAAGAAACAAGAATATCTTTATTGATCTTAAAGAACTCCTCACTCAGAAACAGTTCTCAATTGAATTAGCCTCAAGTATTTTGAGGAACCTGAACCCTCCCACACAAAATTATACAATTTTCCTGCCAACTACTACAAACTTCCCCTACTAATAGTCTCAGCTCAAATTACTTACAGCTGATCCACCTAACTATTACACATTTTAATGTTTCTTATTCTGTATATTATACTCATATTTAAGAGGGTTGTCATGTTCTGTCACTCTAATCCTGATAGACAAGTTTAACTATTTCATCTGTCAATAAGAAAGGGATAACATTATTTCAACTTCATTTAACATGTATAAAAATACAGTATCCATTCAATATGATAGTTGATAGAAAGTAAGTTCCGACAAAAAGAGAGCTTGCCACATAGTATAATTACTACAAACCTGCTTTTCAGCTTCTCCTTCACTAATGGTACTCTGTTGTACCTTTTTTGTTAATCCTAAATTCATTGAAAATGGTTAGTCTGCTATTTAAAATCCAATTTAACAGAAATAGAGAAAGGACTAAATAAAGTTATGAAAAAGCAACCAATCAGAAACTCATGAATATACAGTATTAGAGTCTCAAATGTCTTCATATTACATAACATATTGAAATATTTTATCTGTTTTGAAGGACATCTTTCCAATAACTTTTTTCTACGAATAAAAAGTATCAAAATATTGCATTCACCACTTACCACTAGATGCATGATGATTCTGACACCATTCTCCCATCCTGTCAAGGCACTCCTTAGTTTGATGAATGACCAAATCGGGACCCTAAAAATAGCAGATACTTTCTTTCATACACAAACTGAAGGGATCATGCAAAACATTTCACCAAATGCAATAACATTTCATCCTTTGCCAAAAAAGAGTAGGAGAAAGACCAATAATTTATTTGGCAGAGATACTTAAGAAAATGCTTCCATAATGTGGATTTGGAATTCCTCTGTTAAATCAAATAGCATTTCCTCCTTTGAATGAAAGTGAAAAGGGCGGGAGCTAAGAGGATAAGTTAAAACTTAAATTGAATTAAAAATTGCACATCTACATAAAAAATGAAAAGCCACCAAAGTCCCAATGAAATAGTTGATAGAGTCCCAATGAAATAGTTGATAGAGTCAAAGGGCATATCCAAAACAATGAAAAGAAAGCACAGGAAAGCTGAGGATTATTTAATGGCATGAACTCCATTAACACTTTTGAAGGAATTATCCTTTAATTACCCACTCCTTGGGAGAACATTCCAAGAGAAAATTAATTATTTCCCTAGAAAACATGTGACAGTCTATGGAATAAGCAAGTTTTTCCTTACAGATAAACAGAGAGGGAAAAAAAATTAAAAAAGACATGTTATTTTGTAGAGAATGTAGAAACTCATTCAAAATACATTGATGCATTGAAACAACCACAAAATAAACAAAATCGAACATGGAAATTGCAAATTGAATTAATTACCTCCACTGTTTTGGTTAAAAATCCATCTGTAATTATACAAGCAATCTCTAGTATTCTGTCCACTTCAATATTTAAACCTGCACAAACAGTTTATACATTGTTGTTATTGTAATTATTGATAAATAAAACAAATAGTAAAAAAAATCATCTGGCACTAAAAAATTCTTATGTTATCCAAGAATTAGACTACACAGTTGGTGACTAAAAAATATAGAGACTACTTGGTGAGCATAATTAAATACCACAAAATAATATATAACCAAATGTAAGAGACAAATGCATTCAACCCGACAAAATCTACAACACAGAGAAATGGTACCAAGCAGTGAAAAATAATAATAAACAAATTAAGAGGGTGAAAATGATGAAATCCGAATAACGTTCAGATC